AAAATTTTATCATTATTTGCAAAATAGCAACAAATATGTGTTATTCAAATATTGTTTTAATTATATAAAATAAAAAGTTTTTAAAAAAATTATATGCCATTTTTTACAATTTTCAAACATTCAAAGCATTGATTATGGATTAATCTTTTTGAATAAAACAGTTTATATTTAATATAAAATTATCAACAATATATAAACAATATTTAGTGTATATATGTAATATTTTATAAGTAATATTTAATTTATTTTATTTATTTTATCTATTTACAAAATTAGTAGAATTTTCCAAATTTTCCAAAATTTTTTTTTCTAAAAAAGTGTGTGTGAGGAAAAGTTTTAAACAAAAATGTTCAAATAGTTCAGTTTATTAATTATAAATCGTTTGGTGTTTGGGTGTATGGTGTTTATGTAACTTCATTTGTTGTGCTAATGTGTATATACCAGTGGTTCCTAAAGGGTGTTCCCGTAAACTATCGGTAAGTTGTAGATTTTATCTATCTATAAAATTCACTTAATTTAAATTTAGAATTTCTGTAGGGTAAGTTATAGTAATCGCAAAAACCCGAAAATGAAATTTTTTTGCATATTTTTACGTTTCAGAGTTTCTGAACATTTTGGCATACCTTAGAAAAAATGGTTGTGTGTGTATGTGTGTGTGCGGATACAAATTTTCGTGGACGCTTTTGCGAACACGGATCAACCGATTTGCATAATTCAAAAAAAATTCGATGCCTACTGATAAGAAGACGTGCTGATTAGTTTTGGCAAAGGCAGGTCTAGCCGTTTCGGAAATACGGGCCAAAAAGTTTCAAAAAGGGTATTTAGATTTTGAGATAACGGAGCATCCGATTTGAATAATTCAAAAAACATTTACTTGTATTAACAAGATGAACTGATTAAATTTTTGGAAAGGCAGGTCTAGCGGTTTCAGAGATCTAGCGAAAAAAGTAAAATAAAATGCCATTTGGCGTTCAAAAATGAACATTAGACATATGCACATCGAATTATCAGATATTTTATAAAGATTATAATAATGAGTACAAATTTTATATATGGGTTTCGTACCAATGTTTACACGTTAGACGTCTATGCGGCGCTTACGCGCTTTGATATTTTGATATCAAATCAGCTATGCAGCGCGATTCCTAAAAAAATATAGGTATAAAAAATAAATCAAAATATAAAAAAATCCAATTTTTAAGAGTTGTATATAGGAGTTGTGTATATGGAGTTGTATATATAGAGTTGTATATAGGAGTTGATATATAGGAGTTGAGTTCTGTATATAGGAGGTGTATTTAAGAGTTGCATATATGGAGTTGTATATTTAGGAATTGGGTATTTAGGAGTTGTGTATATATGGAGTGGTGTATATATGGGAGTTGTGTATATATAGAAGTTGTGTATATTAGGAGTTGTGTATATATGAAGTTGTGTATATTAAGAGTTGTATTAGGAGTTGTACGTGAACTATTTTGTGCTAGAAAAAATGTTTCTAAAATTCTGGTATAAATGGAGAAAATATAGATAATTCAGTTATCTATAATTATCTGAAGACAGTATCTATATACATTCAATATTTTACAAATTGTGTGCAAAAATGCCACAAAAATGTACCGTAATTGTATTACATAACCCATGTTATGGGTTTGTATGAGTAAGAACAGTGGTGTGCAACCTTTTGTGCTGAAAATAATGGTTTTAGCATAATGTAATATATGGAGAAATTGGAGATAATTTTGTTATCTATAATTATCTGAAGACTGTTTCTAGATAAATTCACTAATTTACACAATTATTAATATAATAGTTTAAAAAAATGCATAGTCGTTTGTTTTTAGTATTGGAAATAGTAAATATTTGGCGCCAGTTTTTAGCAACAAATATTTTGTTACACATTTGGTGTATATGAAAAACTTTTGAAACATTTTATTTATTTAATAACAAGTTTTTGAGTGATTTAATATTATATAAAATTTAGCCGGCTTTTGTACGAATATTTGAAATTATTGTTTATGGAAAATTATTCATCATTAAGTAGTTATTTAATCTGTCTAAAATAGATTCAAACTTTATGCAATAGTTAAACTATTAAGTTATATTGAAAAAAGTGCATAATTGCAAATATCAGATTTTTATATTTATTGAACGAAAGTTGTTAAAGTGTGTCGCTAAATTTTAGTAAAATTTTAGTTTGTTTGAACAATTAATATATATAACAAATATTTAGAAAATTTAGTTTACCATAGAACTGTCTTAAGCCAAAAATCTTTATAAAAAAAAATCCGAGACATTTTAATATCAACGTGTCTATTAAATGTACTACTAAATTCCATATCAAGTGTTAATTCAAAACTTATTTTAGTTATTGAAAGTCATTATACAAATTTATGGTGTGAGAATAAAATATGTAGATTTTTATGAGCTAAAATTTTGCTAAAGACTGTTTTCAATTTAACGAAATAGTTTGAGAGTTATGTTGCAAAAACTAAAAATTTACACGTTTTAGAAGCATGTTTCTCTGTCTATTTATCCCTCGCTCTCTTTCTTTCCTTATATATATATATATATATATATTAATAAAATATTTAAAATTATTCATTAATTTATTTTATTTTAAAAAAGATAAATCTTCTTCATTTATTAACATCTTAAAAAATATTCAATACAATCAGATAACACTTATAAAATGTTAATAACATAATATAAAATATTAAAAATAAACAAAAACGTTTAAAAATAACAAAAATTAATATTAATACATTCACAACGATTTCATTTATACACGCGTCCACACTTTGAGAACCAGTCATATTTGCAAGATCACAATTTTACAGTAACTTTGAGAAATACTGACATTCGAAAGAAGGTCGCAGAGCTTGTACTTTGGTCAGATGATTCAAGTCAGATGACTTATTAGTTTTAGTATTTGTTGTCGTAGGTAGCAAAGTGTCTAAATTGCAGATTGGAAGCACAAACGGCTCGTCCTGGGGAGCTCGCCAAATTTCAAGGTGACTTTGAATGACCTCTGGTGATGCTCCACTGTTTTTTTAATATTTAGAAAGCGTTACTCATCAATTTTAGTATTTGTTGTCATAAAAAATACCTCCTAAATTACAGATTCCTAGTACAAACGGTTGACTCCGAAGAGCTCGTCAAAGTTTTATATACAAAGGAAGACTTAGATAATGATTACAGGACTATGGCTTCAGCCAACGTCCATTTTATTTTGGAAACTGCCAAGCTTGGCTGGTAGCTCCTTGCGTCTTAACATTGGCATAACTTTCTGCCAACACCAGAGGCTTCAACTTCTCCTCACTCTTAGCACTTTGTTCACCAGAACGCTTCCAGACAACCTTCTGGCCTTGCTGTTGACTTTCTTCACTTTGCAGATGACCTTCTTGGCTTTCTTCAGCATTCGCACTCCTGTCCCAACCGTGGTGATGTTCTTCGTGGTGATGGTGATCGTGGTGGTCAGGCGAAGGGAACCATTCACTAATCCAGACTGGTTTCCAGATTTTCTTCCATGCTGGTACCCAGATTTCTTTCCAGTCAGGAACCCAAATTTGTTTCCAGGCTTCTTTCCATTCAAGTTTCTTGTCAGGCACCCATATTTGTTTCTTGGCTGGTTTCCAAACTTGTTTCCAGTCTTCTTTCCATTCCAACTTTTTATCAGTAGCCCATTCTTGTTTCTTTTCCGTTCGCCAGGTTTGTTTCCAATCTTCTTTCCAAACTAATTTTTTGTCATCAACCCATACTTGCTTTTTGGCAGGCTTCCAGATTTGCTTCCAATCTTCTTTCCATTCCAACTTCTTATCAGGTACCCAAATTTGTTTCTTGGCTGGTTTCCAATACTTCTGCCAAACAGGTTTCCAAACCAACTTCTTCTTCCATAAATCATGAGACGTGTACTCCCAACCTTCATGATCTTTACCCAAATACTTCTCACCGGGGATTCCAACCTTGACCCATTCAGGAACCCAAACCTTCTTCCAGGCTGGTACTTGGATTTCTTTCCATGCTGGCACTTGGATCTCTTTCCAAACTGGTTTCCAGATCTTCTTCCAAGCCGGAACTTGGATTTCTTTCCAAGCAGGGACTTGGATCGGTTTCCAAACTGGTTTCCAGACCTTTTTCCAGTCTGGTACTTGGATTTCTTTCCAAACTGGAACCTTGATCTCTTTCCAAACTGGTTTCCAGATCTACCAACACAAAAATATCAAACAACTTGAATAACCAACCAAATAAATTTACCATCTTACCTTTTTCCAAGCTGGTACTTGAATTTCCTTCCAAGCAGGCACTTGTATCTCCTTCCAAACAGGTTTCCAGATCTTCTTCCAAGCAGACTTCCAAACCTGTTTCTTCGCTGGTTTCCAAACCTTCTTCCATCCTTCTTTCCATGTCAGTTTCTTTTTCCAGTATCCTGGATCGTGTTCTTCGTGGTGATGATGATCGTGATGCTCATCATGGTGTTCGTGTATTATTTCTTCGTGATGATGATGATCTTCGAATCCAATTCTCTGTTCGGGAACTTGGACTTGTGATTGTGATTCTTCAGCTTGCTGATCGATCACTACAGCTTTGGAGTGAACTCTGATTGAGAGGAATGCCACTAGAGATAGTGTGAACTAGAAAAAAGAAATAGATAAAGGAATTATTAGTATTTGGCTGTATTATACTTATAATTGGCAACATGCTGAATTGCCGATAAATATCTACTAGTAGATTAGCTTTGCTATACAGCCTTGACCATAAGGATCTTAAGGATTCGATTTAGAAATTATGACAACTTGAGAACGCCTTGACCCATTGTGATAATTTAAAAACCATTTGATTTGTTTTGAAAATGTCTATCAATCTATAAAATTTAATCAAGTTTTGGTAAATCATTGAGAATTTATAATTAATTTTTTATCAAAATTATCAAACGTTGAAGCCTTACCATAAGGATCTTAAGGATTCGATTTAGAAATTAGGACAACTTGAGAACGCCTTGACCGATTGTAATAATTTAAAAACCATTCGATTTGTTTTGAAAATGTCTATCAATCTATGAAATTTAATCAAGTTTTGTTAAACCATTGAGGATTTATAATTAATTTTTTATCAAAATTATCAAACGTTGAAGCCTTACTATATTGCCTTGACCATAAGGATCTTAAGGATTTGATTTAGAAATTAGGACAACTTGAGAACGCGTTGACCGATTCTGGAAATTCAAACACCATTTGATTTGTTTTGAGATTATCTATCAATCTGTATAATTTATTTAAGTTTTGTTAAACCGTTGTGGATTTATATATTTTTTATCAAAATTATTAAACGTTCAAGACTGTTTTAAGCCATTTTGCAAAAAAACATCTAACTTTTTATCTTTAAATATTTTTAGCCAATATTTTTGCACTAATTATGCAGGATTATATTATTTTTCAGGATTTTATTTTTTCATTTTGAATGTTTTAAGTGTTTGTGTGTTTGGTGTCCTCAAAATTTTGTTTTATTAAATGTTCTTCAAATTTGAACAATTTTTTATATAGTAACATGCTGTTGTAATTACGCCAAAAGATTAATAAAATATTCATTATATTTTAATTTAATATTTTATTTAAGTAAATTCTATCAACTTTTTTACAAAATAAAAAAAATTTCATACTTTTCAATAAATTTTTTTAGAATCTTGCTAAAATCTATAAAAATAAAGAATCGTCTGAATAAATTTAATAATAAATTATAAAGTTAGGTTTGAATTTCATATATTGTTTATGTATTAATAAGTTACTATAAATGCATTATTTATTGCAAAATTTAATTTATGTTTTTATTATTTTTTATTAATATAAAAAAAGTATTTTTAATACAATTTTAAAGATTTTTGCAAAACACTGAAAAAATCAGTTCTAAACCAAGACACGATTTTCTGGACATGATTTTTGAAAAGTAGCGTTTCAAAAGCATTTTTGGAGTATACAGAGTTGCTAAAGAGCATTTTAACTTTAGACAATGCTGTAGATTATTTAATTTCGTATACAAATTTCTAATACACCATATATATTCATATTAATCAAAAGGTTTAAAAGTTATTTGGTGTGAAACAAATAAATGTACTTGTTGTTGTCAGTACTACAAGTATATTGTTTTTGTGCAGGAATAGAAAAATTATATGAAATATGTATATATATATATATATATATATATATATATATATATGTACATTTATATATAATTGTATATGTAACAAAGAATCATAACATATTATGAAATACTTCATGCAAAACACTCTAAATGTGTGAATTATACTAATTTTGGGTTTTTCGTCAACTTTCTATTATTTATTGTATATACATAAATATATATATATATATATATATATATATATATATATATATATATACATATATAAGTATGTATATATATATATATATATATATATATATATATATTTGATATAATAATTATTTTAGCACTAAATTTTTTTCTAATAAATTACTCATTGCAAACACCTTCAATTCAACAATAATTCATACTTAATTCCGATAATTAATTAGCTCTATAAATATTTCATAACTTTTTAATACAAAATGATAAAAAATTGCGTAAAACATCATTTTAAAGATAATTTTATGCCAAATTTATCTTTCAAAGATATTTTTATCCTAAATCGAGTAGTTTGCGAAATATTTATCAAAAAATGCACTCAAAAATCTTAATAAATTTAAAATTCAGTAACTTGGCATGTTTTTCTCTTGTAACTTTTGAACCATTCGATTAATATGAATGATGTACTCGACAAATGTTTACATAACAGTATTATTTATAACATTTCCTAATACCAAAAGTCTTACAATTAATTTAGAAAATGAAGAAAAAGTCGATAAAACTTTTAATTTTGAATTTAAATATCTGTCACGATTGCGTCGTGCATCAACGATATCTATACGAATCGATAATAAATTCGATTATAAATTCGAAATACGAATATTTTATTATATTTTGTACAACATTTGAAAATGTCCTGCCTGGGTCTAATATGGGTCATTATCGGCCCAGTGTAGGATTCACTGGACTATTATGGGATATTTGCTAATGCATATGATGTTCCAAATTTATATTCCATAGATACTTTTACCCTAAATCAACTAGTTTGCGAAATATTTACCGTTTGAAAAAATGCACTTAAAAATCTTAATAAATTTAAAATTTAGTAACTTGGTTATATGTTTTTCTCTTGTAACTTTTAAACCATTCGATTAATATGAATGATGTATTCGACAAATAGTTACAAAATAATATAGTTAACTCTTTGGGGACGGCTGTCCACCTGAGTGGACAAACATACTGTGAGGCAATTTTTTAAACAATGACTCAGTTTGTATCGAAAAGTTGAATAAATTACATATAGCAGTGATGAACAGTGTTATATTTTGAAAATAACTTTAAGTTATTTTAGTATATAAAACTAAACTTTGCTATAAACGACCGAGCGCTTTTAAATATGGCAAAACGACTGGTATATTATTATTATAAATGTGATAATATTATTATTATAAATGTATGTCCTTCAATGACCACAAATTTTTATCAAACAAATTGCATAACATACACAATGAAATCCAGTTTAGAGCCGGTATAGTAGATTCGTTTGAAATCGTCCCGTAAGTGTTAATAACAGTAATTGCTTTACAGCAATTTCGTATACTCTAAACATCAAACTTATCAATCATTGAAACAACATCAGCACTTCAACAGTGGATTCAACCATTCGATTAATATGAATGATGTATTCAACAAATGTTTACATAATAAAACTAGTAATAACATTGCCTGATACCAAAAGTCTCTACAACAATTCGTTATGCTTCAAAAGTGCGTTTGAAAATCGATTATGTTCGTTACGGTATTTCCAATAAGAATCGTGCGTGTTACGCAAGATTCTTATTGGTCGATGTTGGTTTTTTATTCTGTAGGAAGATTTTACGGATATAAAATTGAAAGTGAAATTTTAATGGGAAAAAATATTTCCGGAGGTGTCGTTGACACTTTTATATACGATTAAAGAAATAAATCACTATAATAAAATATATATATATATATATATATATATATATATATATATATCACTATAAATAAATCACTATAATATATATATATAGATAAAAAAGTGATTGATGAAAGAACTAATAGCCTAAGGCATAAGTTACTCCTATAATACTTTATGAAAAGACATGTGCTTTTTTAAAATATATTTATAATTGTTTGAAGTACTTCTTTAGGCGCGACTAGGGTGTAAGTCCGTACAAACGCAACGGAAGTGCGTTACGGCCGAGTCGAGTGCCAATGATTCGTCATTCGCTCTCGATGATATCATTTCTATACGGGTCGATTGTGATTAGACGTCGTATTATGTGCGAGGCTTCTTTTTATGCGTGACTTTGTACGTGCGTACGTCACCGAAAGCGTGAAGCATATTGCTCATTTTTCAGTGTTACATATCATTACATTTTAAGGTTGAATTGTAATACAAATCATGAGTTAATAAAAATGTCAGGATCGGAAAAATATTTTATCCAGTCCCTCATAAATAATTATAGTGTAAATAATAAAACCAATGAAAAATTTGTGCCGTGTAAGAAACGTAAGTTTATTGAAGTAATTTGTATTATTCGAGGTTTTCTAAAGTACTATACACCTTTGAGGTTATTACTAAAATGGGAAAAAATTTTATAGGCAAGACAGATATTACAGTTGTTCAAATAATGAGATTATATTGCCAGCGAAAAAGTCAAAAAAATACAAGCAGTCAATGAATGTATGTTGATTTTAATTCATAAAGTTCTTCAAACACAATTAGATAATGAGTGAAGATTGCAAAAACAATCTTTGTTTAGGCGTTTTTTACCATAATCCACTGTGTGAACGAATATTATAGAATTTATTAATCAGTAATTATTCATTTTTCTAATGGAAGTTCATTTCTAACTGCTAATTACAATGACAAACCGATCATGCCATATTTGAAGTATGACTTTAATTACATTATTGTTTTTAAATATTATACATATTTTTAATGCCATTATAAATATATAATTTATAATTTATCACTATATAAATGTGTATAATGGTTGACACTAATAAATGTGTGCATCACGAGTGGTACCATATTACTAATAAACATTAATCAAAATTGTTATATGATGTATTTATTTTTCTTTAAATGCAATCTTCTACAGTTGCAGATAAGTTTTTTACTTCAATCGCGGGTGAACCCTACGCGCACTTGTTTTTTTTTAAAAAACTACTGTATTTAAAGAATCCGTATAAAATAATAAAACAATATGACATATAATATTATTTTATAACTATTTGTCGATTACATCAATGATACTAATCGAATGGTTTGAAAGTTACAAGAGAAAACTCATGCCAAGTTACTGAATTTTAAATTTATCAAGACTTTTAAGTTCATTTTTTTATATTGAATATTATGCAAACTATTTTGATAAATATTTTCCAAACTACTTTATCAAAATAAAAGTATTTTCGAAAACCGGTTTTCAAATAGTATTTTTGTAAAACCGGTTCTAACCGATTATAAAAATTCGATTAAAAAAATAATACCAGAAATTTTCTA